GGAGTATCCACGTAAACGAGTATTGTTTCCGATCCGCACTGTACCCCAGACCAGTAGGTTCACGACTTCTTCAACCCCTAATACTGCTCGGTCCCATTGCCTTATTGGCTCAAATGCATAGGCAGTTACACTTATTATGGACTCAACAGTGCTTTCAAGTTCGTCTTTCTCCATTTCAAAACAAGCGTGTGTTCAAAATGTAAAGAAATGCTTGTATTACTTCACTGGCCACGGGAGCGAACCAACCCCGTGAGTCACACGCGGTGGTACTGCAAGATGGCGGCGCCCTTGCTCCAAAAGCTATAACCCGTGATGTCGCGGTGGTACTGCAAGATGGCGGCGCCCTTGCTCCAAAAGCTATAACAAAACAACCTTTTTTCTTTAAAATGGTTACATTAACCATGTTTGTTATATATTATTTTATTAAAATGGAAGTTATTTTCCTAACTAATGTAAACTTGACTGACTGCTTCATTTCCACTTTAAAGCTTCCTGGTTGCTACATCATCCCGCCCATGACGTCTCGCCACTCTACTGGACTGATTTCACATGTGCTTCAGTACGCGGTCACGCAGACACATTCCCAAAGCGTTTCCGATGCAGCTCGAGTTCCTGAAGGGGAACTCACTGCACCTCTTAAAGATGTTCAAGAAAATGACTTTTTTTCAAAATGAGGTTTTCAGGAAGTTATTATACTAAATTGATAAAAAAAATATTTAGTGTGATGTAATGCAATATTTGCGATTGGGCAAAACTAATCAGGCAAACCTTGACCTCTTGATGAACACCACTCCAAACACAGGAACATATATTAAACTGAACATATCATATGACTGAAATGTCACATGATACAGCCCAGACTTAAAAAAATATAAGTCAGAGAAATGTTCAGACATGGCAGCTACACATGTACAAAGTAATTTTTAAATATTACAGTTGTTCACAGATATGTGAATGTTGCCATGTGATGTGTACAATTTGCTTTGTGTTTCTATGTTTTGGAGTGCTGGACATGTACTAAGTAAGGCCATCAAAACATTTGCTTGCTTTTTCTAGAAAATGCAACTTGTTTAAAAGCCATTATCTCACAATAAGTGACCTATATGTGAGTGTTTATTTTGCAAGTTAGTGTGTGATGCAAGTTAAAATGCCATAATGATGGATTTGTTTCTGACTTCACAAGATGTCAATTGATGGGCTGGAGTCGTGTGGATTACTTGTGAATTACTGTGATGTTTTTATCAGCTGTTTGGACTCTCATTTCTGACGGCACCCATTCACTGCAGTGGATCCACTAGTGAGCAAGTGATGTAATGCTAAATTTCTCCAAATCTGATGAAGAAATAAACTCATTTACATCTTGAATTGCCTAAAGTTTCAGCAAATTTTCTTTTTTCTTTGTGTGTGTGTGTGTGTGTGAGAACTATTGCTTTAAGAATAACTTCCACTGCTTAGAAAAGAAAAACCTACATTTTAGTGCAGTATTTCAGATTCGGTCAAAACTGGCTAAGAATCTGCATACTTTTGCATGGCACAGTATATTTACATGGCCCTTAAAACCAGATCCATTCATCCATGGCTTTAACAGCTGAATAAATGCGGAGACAGAGAGTAGTGAAAGTGCAGAGCGCCATACAGCAGCTGACTTTACTGACTCCCTCAGACTGTTCACTCGGTTTCTGGGATGAAAGCCACGCAAGACTGTGTGACCCCCTCTCAAAGCACAGAAAAAAGGCTCTGATTTGTTGTGGATAATTTCTGCCGTTCTGCCCTGTACGCCTCTGTGTATCTCTTTTCACATTACATACTCTAATGGAGAGCAGAAAGCGAATATAAATAAATAAATCAATAAAAGACCAGTGCCAGTGTTATATGCCTACCCACCTGCAGCCCCCCGACACAGATCAAGACAGGCTCCCCCAGACCCAAATTTCTCTCTCCCCCTCTTTCAAACCTCTCATTCCCACTGTGAAATTGAAACCATATAATATGAGCCATGACAAAACGGAATCTCACGCCAAATTGGAAGTTGGGATTTCCTATGACACCGTCCCTGGGTCTCAGAGAGAGATAATTACAAAAAGGCAGAGGGATAAATAGAAAAGGGAAGGATGTGATATAGGTGGGGGATGGTCAGGGAGAAGAGCGGCCGCTGTTCATACGGATATAAGTAGTGTCACAGCGAGATGGGAGACAACATTTTGCTGCGATATAGAATTCTAGTAAACAGCTTCTTTCCCCAGAGAGAACAATGTGCCCTTTTCACCCGACAGTATGGATTCCCTAACTCCAAGAAAGGTGTGTACGCATCGATAGCAAACACACGCACATACACACTCCATGTACTCAATGATGGAGTACAACTGAACTAGGCGTGTGTGTGTGTTTTTAAAGCAGTCTTTTCAGTTTATATATGTATTTACTGACACAAAAAAGGACATTACTATTACTATTGTCAATATAAATGTAATACTATTGTAATACCATGTTGTTGTTTTTTTTGTTTTGTTTTTACCGTAACCACAGTATTCTTTGATGGACCTTGGAGTATCATATAAATACCATGGTAAGGCAATTGTTCAGTGTCATGGGACATATCAAAATACCATGGTATTCCCACATAATACCACTGTACCTCCACAGACATTTTTTAGGGGATTGAGTGTGTAAATATGTGAATATTGAGAGAGAGAGAGAGAGAGAGAGAGGGAGGGAGAGAGAGAGAGCGAGAGAGAGAGAGAGAGAGGAATTATGCATTTGAGAGTTATGAAAGTATGTTTCTGCCTCAGAGTAAAAAATAAAATGTGTAATTTAAAGGGGTCATGAACTGCTTTTTATTATTTTATATTGTTCTCCGAGGTTCACTTATAATGTTAGTGTGATTTTACATCAACAAAGATCATAATTTAGAAGTAATAGGCTATTTTCTATCCTGTTTTTGAGCCTCCTTGCAGAAAGGTCTGTTTTTTTTAAAGGCGGGGCGGATTCAATAATCACAAGTAAACACCCACTGCTATGATTGACTAACGGTTTCGCTTTCTTAAAATAACAGATGGATGCTGCTGTGACATACTCTGAAAACAACATGGGTCATTTGGGTTAAAAATGTATAAATCAAACGATTAATCGCATACAAAATAAAAGTTTTTGTTTACAAAATACAGTATATGTGTGTGTACTGTGTATATTTATTATGTATATATAAAATACACAAACATACATGTATATATTTAAATAAATATTTACATGTATGTATGTATATATATATATATTTTTTTTCTCAAATATAATTTATATGATATATAAAAATTTATATTTTTTATATATAAACAAAACATATTTTTCTTAAATATATACATGAATGTGTGTTATTTATATATACATAATAAATATAAACAGTAAACACATATATTTTATGTAAACAAA